TGCTCGGAAACAAACCATACAATGAATACTCGAATTGCTGATAAATAATATCATAGCCATAGTCTTCTTCTTTTCAAATTAAAATTTTCTTTGAAATATTTTTTTCAAATGAGCCTTTGACCGAACATTTACGATTGTATCATGTGGATAAAAACACGACTTATCAGTATGCTTAACATTCTATATTGTGACGTCATTTTCGGAGTTATAGCGTCATAAAAATTATAATATGACGTCACAATATGTGAATATTTTTCTGATCGTTTTAATGATATCAAACTCAATAATTTCCGTAAAACGGGTAATATTTTATTAAACAGTTGCCAGAACTTTTGAAATGCCCCTCGTACAAGTATGATCGAACTCAAATTATTTTGTATGCATAGATTTTTGTAGAGTGATTCTAGGTCATGATTTCTAATAATTGTTTTCATTTACAGGTGGTCCTATTTATATTTCGTTGTTTGGTGGTTGTTTTCTGTTGTCATAGTGATGCAGCTGTTCACCGCTCTTATCATTGAGGTAGGTATATTTCTTATGTATGCCTTGATCTGCTGATGTAAAGCATAATTATAAAATGTATTTACTGACTTTTCTTTAAATTGTTAAAATGCATATGTACAAAGATTATCAAACTCACCACATGTTAAAATAATCTGAATTTCAATCGCCCTCTCCCTCTCATGTGCATCTTTGATTTGATTTTTTTTTCTACTGTAGAATTTCATAATGAAATGGGACAAGAGTGGATCTAGAAGAAGCAGAGGAAATTCAGACTTTGAGGAATCTCATCACTTTATGTCTGTACATGATATGTTCAGGTTAGTAGATTTCAATAATCTTAAATTTGAATTGAATTGAATTGAAATTTACTTCTTTCAGCATTTTAATGATGGGTTTTAATAAAATATTTATCTGATTCTTTATTTCTCAGGAAAGAACATGTGGATGCAATGTAATATTCGTATCTTTAAAAGTGCTTTCAATATTTTTTAATCTCCAAACGTTTTAAATGTTGCAGAGAAAGTCTTCAGGAACCAACAGAAGATGAGATAATGTTACAAATCAGTAACAACCATTATCTACAAGAGGCTACTCTGGGATGTGTTGTCACAACATGAAAGGGAAGTCAATCTGTCATTGGGATTTTAAAGTTTCACAATATTGAGGCATACCAAAGGGAGATCAGTAGACACGTCTAAGGGAGATCAATTTGTCATCAATCTAATAAGAGCTCACTAATCCCCTTCCATGCCCATGAGGACATGTGAGGACAAATAGAAAATGACAACAATTTATTGTAGGAATTCTAACTGAGATTAGTCTGTGAATTGAAGAAAGGTTTCTCTGTATGACTTCATTATGAGAAGTCTTTTGGTGTAGACTGTCACAAAGAACTTCACTTTCAACATTGTGCCATGGCATTGATTTAGTCATACATGTATATGACAGGGACCCTGTCTTATTTCTGTGCTATTTATGAAAGACTTCTTTATAATATATACAAGGTTGAATCCACAGTATAACTTGTACATGGTATATCTTTTATATTACCTCCTCATTCTCAATAATGTTTTTATTTTTAGACATATACCTTATATATTATGACCTTTTAATATGCATAAATTTTTTTAACTATTTATATGGAAAGTTAAATATACCCAAAAATCATGCATATGTCATAGAAAATTTGCATGATAAGAATAGGCTAGAATAAATATCCACGAGATCCATGAACTGTATTAACAAAATATTTAATTGTTAGTATTGAAAATGGCAGGTAAAAAGTTGAACATATCAATTTTTCAAAACTGAAAAAAGGTTGTCAGAAACATGAAAAGATGAACAAAATGATTGGGCATTTTAAACCAGAATTGTTATACATACCTTTATTTGAAGGCTGTAGGAAAGTTACTTTGGTATTATTATTGTTTGTGGATTCACAACCCCACATGTAATGAATTTATCAATATATTGATTTATTGAATCTATCAAATGAACAAGCTCCCACGAAATTACATCTGCAGAGAATTTTTTTTTTTGCTTGCCCACAAACATCAACCCCCATGATTTCAAATGATTTTACAGTATATTTGTAATAAAATCATTATGATGCCTGTAATATGTGTGATCACCATTCCTATTTTTATATGAACTCGCTTTTACAAAATGAGATTCAACTGGACTGTGTAAACACAGTTTTATAATAACATTTGCCTAATGTATGGGTTTACATTTGAAATTGATTTTAATTGTTCAGTGAAGCTTACTTCAATTTTAAGATTGTGTAAGAAGTATGAAGAGTGTAAGTATGTATTCCTTACATAGACCTACATGTACCTTTTGAGCCTATATTTAATACAGTAATTTAATGTTCATTGTACAGCCATCTTGTTTTATATAATTTTTGTATAAAAGTTCCATTATTAAGAATTCTATGAGGAATGTACATCATTGAAGGAAAGTGGTCCACAATATCCCATATCTTTATCAGAAGACTTCAAATATCCACACATAACAGTTTTCAACCAACAAGCAAAATTTGTTGGACCACTGTGCTTTTGTTTAACATTAAACCTATAATTTTATCTTAATATTTCTGACTGAGCATTATTGTGTTTGTAGTAATGTCTTTTTCCCAGGTATATTTTACTTTTAAAGCGGCACTGCATTTCACGTAATTAATCTTCTTTTTTTTATTGTGAGATCTGAAATTTTGATTTTTCAGTTTTCAGAATCACGGTCATCAAGTTGATCATGTTGGACAGAAAAGTAAACTGCTATTCTTAGAATATTTAGCAGAGTTGATCCAATTCAGTTACAAAAAAATGAAATTATTTTATAGTGCTATCAAAAAAGAACACTTTCTTTCAAGAAAAAGAATTTATTAACCTGCAAAAAATCACAATGAAATACACTGTGCATAACTTAAAGGTGTTTTGAAGCTTAAAAGTATAGAATCCCGCTGAAAAACTCGTGAACAGACTGTATTAATAGAAAATTGTATCATTGCTAGCATATAATTATAGCCAATATGTTTCATCGATTTTATCACAAAAGTAACATATGTAAAAAAAAAATATATTAAAAAGAATACAACCAAATCTAAATTAAGGCAATTTTCGCCCCATCAGTTAAATAAATATTAATATTACGACAAATATGACAATTTATTCAAGAAAGAGTTATTTCTAATCACATACATGTACTAGTAATTTGAGCAGGTTTGTAAAAGATATATATCCTAAAGTTTATCAAATTCTTTACGGGAGAAGTTCAATTTCTTAGATGTCTGAGACCTTATATGCATATATGTACATCATTGGCTTCGGAAGCAAACTGAAAGGGGGGCTAAGTCAGTGAAAGAGAATAAAAAATCAAACCTACAAGAAAACTTGGCAAGCGGAAAAAGAAAAATGTTCACATTTTCCAATCACGAAATCGTATTTCGTGGTGAGGGTGTGTGTGTGTGTGTGTGGGGGGGGGGGGGGGGGCAAACTTCTTTCAGTACCTTTTTCCATACACTACCACTTTCTCTTTTTTGACCTAAATTATTCCGTGTTTGTTGAAGGCGGGGAGCATTCGGCTCACCTCAGCTGACTACGGTACCCTACATCAATTTTTGATGTAGGGTACCGTAGTCAGCCGAGGTGAGCCGAATGGGCGGGGAGGCTACACTTGCGTCCAAATTTTCAATGTTGCATAACATGTCTATCTTTGAAAAAGGGGGGGGGGGGACTAGGCACCCCTCCCCGGTTTTGAAGCCTATGTAAATATCTGTGATATGTAATAAACTATTTTTTATCACTTTTGTTGAGTATCTTGTGTGATATTTAATGCGGTTTATCATCAAGGTCAAAGAGCATACATTTAAACGCCCACATTGATTGCGTTTTAAATAGGCCTAACCGCAATGAAAACGAGAGATTTATTCTTAAACTGTGGAGGAGTGTACTTGTGATTTTATTTAAATACTATTAAGGAGCGTTTCCGGCAACAATCAATAGATGAGTCGAGCGAACTCAATGAATATATAAAAATATAGAGATGTTGGAAAGTTTATAAAAAAAAAATAATAAACTGGGTCAGTCGATTGATATATATGATATCATTATACTGTATATAATATGGACGGATGTTGCTATATATCTTGTACCAATAAGGACATTAGTTTCGCTAATGGAATTAAGGATCGTTTGAGGAATGGACCCTATGAAGTCATCATTTCGAGTAACACGGGTTTAGAAGTTCTTCATTACCAGACTTTGAGATGTCAGATCCTTGAAAGTCGATTTTTTATCGCGATATTAACTTCTGAGTTTATTAAGCAACAAATCCACCTGTATGAATTGGCCCAAGCTCTGGACCTCGGGAAGAAGATTGTTATTGTACAACATGATCAGGCGCGGATCCCGGGTCCATTCCCAGAACTACAATCAATTCAATGGAACGAAGATGTGACCATTTTGTCAGAAAATGTGTGTCAAGTACTTCAGGACCCAGTATACGGTAATTCAATAACTGAGATTCAAAATAAAATATTTATTACTTTAAATGTTTATTTATAATTTTGCTTATCTTGATATATACCCTGTACATAGTTATTATAATAATGAAGCTGCTTCATTATTTTTGTCATTTTTTAAATTCCTGTTGAGAATTACCGATTTGACCATGTTTGAAGTAAAATGAAACATATGGAGATAAAGAATAGTATTCAAGATCAAAACTCCATAAAACAATAAAAAATAGGAGCTCAAAAACATTCTTGCTGCACTTAGAATTCAAATACTACGTCTATGACGTCACTGACGTCAGACTGCAGGGTAAAGAGAAACAAATGAGTGGATTCGGCAACTTCAAAATATCTAAATGATGGCAAGATCTTTAAAAATTTCTTAATAATAATTGAATGACTGCTCAAGACATTTTGTGCACATATAAGGTCCCCAAAAAGCTGATGTCGCGTCACTTTTTAGAGCTCGAAAATTTTCAAAGCTTGTTGATGACACTGCATTGGATATTTTTTGTTTTATTTTCAGAATTTCCGGCGTACTCCGATTTACTTGATTGTGACGCCATTAAGAGGTACATCTGGAAGTTTGAGGAAACCCAGATAGCGGCACAGCTGTCTCCACATGTAGGGCTCTTTTTTTTAAAATTAGTACAATTTCCTATTTATTTATATTAGTATATATATCACCGGGTTAAGGGATGTGAGAATCAATCAAGATATCGGGTCTCAATAGCTCGAGTCCCTTTTGAGACTTGATTTTCACTACCTTCACCTTTTCGATGTAGATCTAGTAAATTTATATTCTTGTAAAAGAGATACTAGTAACAAACTGTCTTAGAAAACATTATCTAGTAAATGAAAAGGCAAGAACAAGAGAGAGAAAGAGAGAGAGAGAGAACAAGTTAGACTTATTTAATTGGGAAATGTTTTATTTGAATTAAATATTAATTAAAACTTTCTGACAGGTACTTTTTACATGTTTTCTCAGGTTAAATCTGTGGAATATGCATCTACAGAACTGCAACTGAAGGACATCCAGACAACCTTGATTACTTTGTGTGAGGGAATAAACAAAATACAAAGTTCACCGGTGCGTAAAAGAAAAGTCAGTAAACGACAGTTCCCCTGTGACATTCGTCGAGTTGCAAGGCGGTACCAGGATGTTATAGGTAAGGGGCAATAAGGTATTAGGATGTTATAAAAAAGGGACAAAACGGTACCAGGATGTTATAGGTAAGGGGCAAAACGGTACCAGGATGTTATAGGTAAGGGACAAAATGGTACCAGGATGTTATACGAAAGGGGCAATAAGGTATTAGGATGTTATAGGTAAGGGACAAAACGGTACCAGGATGTTATAGGTAAGGGGCAAAACGGTACCAGGATGTTATAGGTAAGGGACAAAATGGTACCAGGATGTTATAGGAAAGGGACAAAACGGTACCAGGATGTTATAGGAAAGGGACAAAACGGTACCAGGATGTTATAGGTAAGGGGAAATAAGGTACCAGAATGTTATAGGTAAGGTGCAAAAAGATATTAGGATGTTATACGAAAGGGACAAAACGGTACCAGGATGTCATATGTAAGGTGCAAATAGATAATATTTTAGGTTGTTATACGACAGGGACAAAACGGTACCAGATCGTTATAGGTAAGGTGCAAAACGATATTAGGATGTTTTAGGTAAGGGGCAAAACGGTATCAGGATGTTTTAAGTTTGTGATAAAAGAAACCAGGATGTTATCGGTAAGGGGCAATAAGGTACCAGGATATTATCGGTTAGGGACAAAACGGTACCAAGATGTTTTAGTTATGGGGCAAAACGGTATAAGGATGTTACAGGTAATTGGCAAAAAGTTATCCCGAGAATATTGGTGGCATTGCGTTACCAGGATGTTATTACAGATTAGTGGTAAGGTAGTACCAGGATAGACAAGTTCCAAAGATGTACATGTAATCATTTTCTTTTCTCTTTCAAGTGTTCAGAAGGGATCGTTCCTTGCCTTATTTTAATAAACACTATGATTAGATTGCTCGGTCGTTACTTGGTCCATATAATGTTGTATTTGTCTTGGTTTATCGTACCTTTAAGTGCTCAGACAGTTTGGTCGTTAATTATTACAGTGTTGTATATATCTTGTTCTAGCGTACCCTATCATCAGACAGCTGGGTCGCTACTTAGACCTAGAGGAAGACGAGTTGGATGAAGTGGAGAGATTTTCAGAATTCGGAACAAAAGAAGTCTTCTGGCAGACGATACGTCTATGGCTGGAAAAGACCGAATCTAAAGAGTTAACTGTGGGAACAATAATCAAAACGCACTGAAAGAATGCGATGTAGATCTTAAAGGTGATTTAAAAGATCAAGTCAGAACCTTATCAAAGGCATAATTTTTTGTGTTTTTTCACCTT